CAGCACAGAGCATTTCCATACTGACAGTATGTCTGTATTCAAGTGTTTTGGTAGGGATTTCAAGCTTTCCTGCTCCAGCATTGGAATGCGGGGCATGGTTGTTTTTTTTTATTTTGAAAATCAACAGTTTGCATTATGCAATTAAAAATCCTAACCAATAAAGTAGGGAATAGCTATCCAACTGTTGTTTTAGTTGTATTTTACTTCATATTATGGTTATATCAATGTAAATCATTGTTTTCCCTTGTGTTTCTCATTCTTTCCCTGCCATGTCGTAAAATGTGGTGAACCCATCGCTGTATTTGCTCCAAAGCAAATATTGGCCTTTCTAGTATAATTTTGCTTTGTTAAGAATCTAGTTGTTAAACAAATTTTAAGTGAGATGAACAAGAACTAGTACAAGCCAGTAAGGCTTTTTTCTAGGCTTGCACGTTTCCAACTTCTGTATTACCCAGTATATATTTTATGTATTTTATCTTTTACTAAGTTGTGCAAATAAATAAAATAAAATTATGCAAATGCATAATGTTAACCTTCACATGTGGTCTGCTCTGTTAATTCTTACTCAAAAACATTCACATACATTGTGACAGGAGTCTAAATCCCTCCTACTATAAAATTGCAACATGATGTAACCCAACACCAGTTACCACGGTGACAGACGGTCTGGTTCAGGCAATTGACCAGGTCAGTGTTTGGAACGAAAAAAAAAAAAACAGAGCAAAAACAATATGTTTTTCTTTGGTAAACATTTAAAAAATTGCAAAAATGAAACTTACTTTCGGGACTGAGTACAAACATGTCTGAGTGTACTGTCCCTTTGTCCACGTCTCTTTTCACTTTGGTCTTGCTGTAACCTCCGTAAACGATGACCGAGCCGTCAGGAGTTGGGAGGAGCTGGCAGGCGGAGCGTGGGGAAGGGCCGACCCCCGAGGTGCTAAGTCTCGCCCACTGGTACGTGTCCAGGTTGAAGGTGTACAAGTCACAGAAGTACTGATAGTTTCTGTGGAGAGGAAAGAACACCTGAAGAGAAATCCAATCTTCGGACTTTTTAATCTGATATCAATTCAAAGTCTTTTTAGAATCAGAGTGTTAAGACTGCATGATAAAACAAAATTCAAGTTTCTCCCAAAATTTGTTCTTTTGACGTAGTAGTGACGTACATGATGTTGTCATGGAAACCACCAAACACCACCAGCTGTCGCTTCACGGAGACCATACGGTGTCCACTGCGGGAAGTGGGCCCTCCGGAGGAGCTGGGAAAAAGCAACAAAATCTAGCATGTCTAGATCATGAGATACCAAACCTGGAAGTTCTGCTGCAGTACCCAGGAAAGCTGCCCAGGGGCCCAAAATCTAATCATTTCTATGTCTCATTAAGACCTACTCACCTACCAAGTTTCATAACAATCCATCTAAAGCTTCTTGAGTTATCGTGCTAAACCACACACACACACACACACACACACACACACACACACACACACACACACACACACACACACACACACACACACACACAAACGCTATGGAAAACACAACGGATCTTCTTGGCGAAGGTGAAGAAGTTCTGATATATGTGTACATACCCTGAAGATGTTGTAATTTCTATACATGTATAGTATTTCTATAAGTATAACCTCTACTTAAATCATGTATTTCATCCTTTCAACTCCTTTGATAGCCCATCTTCAATGACAAGCAGTTAAAGAATCTTTAACAATTGCAAGTAGTGCAGGTAGCCACTGCTACAAAAAGCTTTTTCATTTTATTTTAGAACGCCCTTTAACAAACTTTTGTTAGCCATGTTGGTCTTGGTCATTCCATCTTCTCTACACCTATAGAGAGCTGCTTTCAGAACAGTTATCAACAATCACTCAAAATTACTTACTAATTCGACACTTACCTGATCTTTTCCCACTTCCTGGTGGCCAGGTGTAGAACCCACAGGTCCTTGTAGTGATAAAACTGGGACTGGGAGGGGGAAGCAAACTCCCCTCCAAACACCCACATCTGGCCTCCTCCCTGGGCAAGAGATACTGCCTGCAACAGACAACAATGTTACCGGGAACCTGCATGATACCCAGGTTTGCCCAGAGAAGAGTAGCCAAAAGCTGAGAAACAGTACAGGATGAGAACAATATCAGGGCTCGAAATTAACATTGTCCCAGTGTCAAATGACACTAAATTTTTAGCTTGGGACAATTCAAATTACCTTTCAGGACAATTTCTGGACAATTGGAAAATTCTGAGACCATCCAAGTCATTTTGGAATGCGATCCATCAGTTGTTGTTGTTTTCTGATTGTTGTCATAAACTTATTTCCTGAAAAGCAGGCTGGGACAGTCCATCTTCAGTTCGGGACAATTGAAATCCATATTCGGGACAATTCTGGGACAGTAGTAAAAAACGTTTCGAGGCCTGAATATACATGTACAAATGTATTCCCCTTCCCCTGCAGCATGACATAAATACAAGCTGTCTTAATTGATGAGGTCTAATCAACATCTCTCACCTGATGTGCACACCTGGGTGGGGGTCCCTCGGGAATCTGCACCTGACTCCACTCATTTTTCTTGATGTTGTAGAAAAACAGGTCATTGTACACAAAAGTCTGAAAAAAAGAAGAAAAATATCTTTACGGTTCTCAGGTGCAAATGTGCAGTTCAACACCAAATCAGGGTGAGTCCTCATTGGTATTACGACACCCTATAGACAATTTGATTCTGCCAGGAAACCCGCCAATGAGGAAAGTCAAGTAAAGTGCCTTTCCCAAAGGCACAACTTTGGGAATGTCAAAAGAATCAAACCTGGGACCGCTTGGTTCTGAGCCAACTGCTCTGATGTATTTTAACAATCATGAAAAATATATTTCCACTTGAATATACATGAACATGAATTGTAATCTCTCTTTCCTGCCTAAATTATTTTACTTACCTTTTGCCCATTGTAGTACTCTCCTCCAAACAGAATGAGCTCCTCTTTCTCTGGATGGGCTACAAGGCTTCCATTGCACCTTGAAAGGAAGGGCTTGGCATTACCTTATTGACAAAAAACCATGTGTGCAATAAATTAAGAACTGTATATGGATGTAAATCATGCAATCAAGGTGCTCAACCCCAAGATTAGTATTAAAGTAAGGTACTAGAATACAACTTACATCTGTAAATGGCTGTGTCATACAAGTATGATGTAACTTGTGTATTTTTAAAACTATATAGCATTACTTAACTGCTATCCATGAAATCGTATCTTCTGATAGTTATCATTCTCCCTGCTACCCCATTTTGTATAAGTTATAATCAAAACAGTTTTGCTGGTAAAAGACTACATCTGCAGGGAGTGGTTAAAGTGACAAGTTACCTTGGCAATGGTGGTGCACATGGCTCTTCTGTAACTTGTGTCCTCTTGCGATCTAGCTCTTGGAACTCTGCTATTAGTGCTTCCAAGTCTTCCTAGAATATAAAGTATTTGCCAATGTACACTGTTACAATTCGTATTTGCCGTTTTAATTCTACGAAATGCGTTGTAGCCACTTGGAATTTATTGTAAAGCATTCTTGATAGGTTTCCTGAATTCAGCGTAATACATTGTAGCCAGCCCCCATGTAGGCCCCCATTTGAGGCAACAATGGACCAACAAGGGCATTTAAGCCTGAAGCCCAAAAGTCATCAAAGCATGGAAGACAATATCCAGGATGGTGGAAAACCTTGATCCACATACTAAGACAAGGATAGACCAAGGATATTGGAGGGTCTGCATGGGGGGATCCTGGTAAATCTAGCAGGAATAACATACCCTAAATCTAGCAGGAATAACACTTTACCCTTTTGGTAAAGTTGTTGTATAATCGAAGAATTTGATTAGCGATGAATTCCGGATAACAAATAATTGTTGTGTAATGATTATTCTTCATGAAGAATTCCTGGCGTTTGATTAAAGCGGCCTGCTACGATTACTAGTAATGGTGGATCAAAATGGCTCCTTAAAGTTAAACCTCACGGAAAAAGGCATGGAGATTTTCAAACATCCTTGGATGTTACGAAGAATGATGTGTGACTATGCTCGGGTGAAGTTCATAAATCAAAGTTTGGGAGAAAACAGGAGATTTCGTTTTGAAAATCAACACAGTCACAGCCATTCTTCCCGGCTATCCTTTCTTGAATATCAATTTGCCAAATGTGAATTTTTTCTTTCTACTGCCCTGGCTAGGACAGCTATCAAGATTCCCAAGGGTCACACTTCAGATCGGTGGGAGGGGGGCAAAGAGAAATTATTTACGACTCACATCTGCCTCTGCACGTGCTTTCTTTTCTGCCTTCTTCGCCGTCTTCAGGGCCGTTTTTTCAGCTCCCTTCCCCTTCTTGTCCTTCTTCTTGCCCATACCACTTACCGGTCTGCTTTTAGTCACCTAGAAATGAATGGAATTGACAAAATACAAGTCAAGCCCCTCACAAAATTTCAATATTCCGCCATGTTTTGCTAATAATAGAGGCCCATGGGAAGGGTCAAAGAGGAAAACTATTTTTTTCGCAATTTCACTCAGGATTTCGAGCCGCGTCGATTACAGCAATGATACCACATCTATTCAACCGAAAGACACCGACTGTTATCATTATAAATCACAGGCCATTTGTCCGCCAGAAAAAAATATGGGTCACACACCGAAACTATTATTTCCACTGGCAGGCCATTTCCACAGACAAGGACCCGTAAGTTTCACCCTTTTGCCTGATGATGACGGAATCAGGAAGGGGGCGGGTCCACAGAATACTTTGAAAGCGTTGAAAGCTGTATGCCGTTTTGACAAAAGTAAAAGATTGAAATTTTGGTAATATGAAGTCCTTAACTTTTGCAATTGTATGGATAATGAATGATATTGGGTTGATAGATACAATGTATATGGAATCTGAAGGATAGAGGAAGGTGTCACTTCTACTCTTTCACCTCCTTGAATGAAGGCTCTTGGATGGATCATTAAAAAAAAAGAAAAGGAAAGAAACAGACTGTCTTTCCTTTTCTTTGGAAATAGCATTTTGTCCAAACCACAATGCTGTCGATACAAGTACATGTATAACAATTTCAATTCTAACCCTAACCTACCATGGTAAAGCTTTTATAACGTTACAATGTATAAGGTTGCGTTCATTTGCATCTCATGAATAAATTGCGCTGTAGTGTAACATGTTACCATTATACAAGTCTGGGCTGCGTAAAGGCATCCCATGCGATTTCAGAGAAGCAAAACTGGAAATATTCTGAATAAGGTCCTGTTCAATATTATTTTTTCTTTTCCTGTGCCTTTCTAGAGGTCTGCGCTCTCCCCGTTCTAGGCGGGCCACTAGAAACTTTATCGGTAAAACTTAAAAAAGATGAGTTAAGGAAGGAGGTTAAAAGAGATTTTTGACAACTTTGAAACAATACACATTCAACTGCTAACAGTTAGTTGTCTCAGTCGCAGTCTGGCTCACAGAGAAAAACAAAAGCCCACACTCGAGTCGAAACAAGTTACTTTTGTTTCGGTGTTTAATCAACAGAACAAGCATTGATGTCAGGAATTCTTTTGTCAGGACCGGAGACAATGGAGCTTTTGTCAACTTCACGCCAAATCTTATGCTAAAAGATATGGACGTCAAACCAAAACTGTTTGTTTTTAGGTCAAGTTCAACAGAAATTTGGATTAAAACTCCTTGGGTGGTTGATGCATAAGAATCTCCTTGTATACAAATGTTCCGTAAAAATTACCTCAATTTTTTAAAATAAATGTGATGGAATAATTCCAACTCGCAAGCTGCGCCTAAAGAAACGACTTCTATCATCCAGGCTAATAAATTTCCGACAAATTTAACGTTATTTTTTAAAAGTCAGGAAGCGTGGATCCTGAAAACACCGTGAAATTGCACGTGCAGGCCGCATGCAAAGCATACTACCAATTATTTTTGTTACGTATGGGGTCTTGTAAAGTGCCCGGATGAGGTTTCCTATGCCAAAATCCGACAGTAATGGCGGCCGGTCGACTCAGTGATCAGCATATACCGGGGTTCTTCTCTTGTTTTCTCTTGCTGGAGTAAATGTATCGAGCCGACGTTACGCAGAAATGGTGTGCAAGGAAGAGGTCTTCTCCTGGTTCCAAAGTTTGACCAGTCCCAAAAGGATAGAATTTTTGTGCGGGCTGTTGGATTTCTGTCACCCTATCGAGCTTCGATTCTTGGGAACCTGTCTGGAAGAGCTGTGCCGAAAGGATTACAACTTTCTCAGGGACTCCGAGCAAAAGGCGAACAACACTCATGAACTACAGTCACTGGACGATATCGGAGATGATACCGTACGGACGAAACTTATCGTGTATCTGGCTCTGTTGTACACAACGAATAGTCAGGGGTCGAACGTTCTGTCCCATACATTGAATCACGTTGAAAGCACCATTCTGAATGGGCTGCAGCTCACAGAGCAAATCAAGGAGGAGTTTCTCCTGCTCCTCGCCATGGCAGCTAACCATCCCGCGTTTTCCATCCACCAGCGACTGACTTTCAGTACCCAGATGGAAAGGATACAAGCTCAGCCAACTGTTGAAGTTTGTAAGGTAAGCACTGAAGTCTGCCAAAGCTCACCACCCCTAGAGTAAAAACCCCTCCTCCCCCTTCCCCCATGGGGAGGGGGGGGGGACTTGGAGGTTTCTGCACCAGATTTGCTAACAGCTGGCAGAAGATAGTGCAGACAGCAGGGAATCCCCACCCACTTCTCATAACATGTCTGGTTCTAATTCCCCCTTCCCTTCCCCAGACGCTCTGCTATTTTTGTATACCAACCATAGACACACAACTTTAAACCCGAGCTGGTAACATATTTAGTTGCTTCTTGGTTGTCTAAATGTAGGGGTCAAGTGCAGAGCATAGGAAAGAGGAGGAGGAGGTCATCTCGGAGGAGACCTCCACAACTCCAGGTACACAGCCCAGCACAGACACCAGCAAGGAGACTCAACAACCTAAAGGTAGGAGTAGGTCAACTTCACTTTCTACACCACAGGGTATCTATTACCTTGGAGCTTCCAGTGTTTTACCCATCCATTCTCAGTGTCTGTCTCAAGTTGTAAACATTCTGAGACTGCATGGATCATGATGGTATGGTCAGGAGAATAATGACCCGTGAGATTGTTTAAAGGATGGTAGTGAAGTAAAAAAGAAGAAGAGCTACTTGGTTTCAGATACTAGTATCATCCTCAGGAGCTATCTTGTGGTTGGATGTGCAGACCTTGGGGTTACCTGGAATGTGTACCTTCTCTGGAGGGGTACCCGATCCTGTCAACAGACTGATGCAGATTTGGTTTCGCCCCACAGTGCGGGGATGATTCACAGAACCTGCTGTATTCTAAACAAAGTCAAGTGCAAAGCCATTATTGGGACAGAGCCTTTAAGGAAGCGGGGTTACGGGGTAGACTGTAGCCAGACAGATTAAAGTGACCTTCCTGTGGCTGATTGGAATGAGACCCTCGGCCGCCACCCTCAGAGACTATGGTTATTGTTTCCTATGCCAAGAATGACTGCGTTTTGGAGCAGGCCGTCGGTCGGGCCGCACCTTGTACAGACATCGCGCTCAGCTGAGAAAGGAAAAATAAACAGGGAAGGTTTTGTCATGTCTCAGTGGCTACTTGGATCAGGGGATCATGGCTAGATTATTACCACCTCAGGCAGATTTAGTTGCTGATAGGGGGGATACCCCAGCCTGGTGAAACAATAGGCCTGCGCTATAGTGTTGCACAACTTTCACTTACAGGGAACGCAACACAGGAGGGAAACAAAGGGAGAGGGAATTCGATGCTTAGTGGTTTAAACAGTGGGCCTGGTTTAATTGGGTATTATTTGTTTGAGTTGAATACATGACAAATACCATTTAGGACACCTGGCTGACACCTAGCCACCTGGGTAATTGCTTAGCCAAGCAGAAACTGAGGTTGAGCAGTATTTCACTGTCAACTTCGATCTGTTGTCTCTCTTTTCATATTTCATCTCCTAATGTACAAATCCAGGAGTTTTAAAGGATGAAAAGAATTTTTTTTGGTTTGAACATAAATCACTGAAATTTTCAGCATCAGTACATGTCTAAACTGCACCATAATTAAATTACAAATCAACCGTTAGTCACAATAACTTATAATTAAACAAATTGTACTGTCATTCAACAGAAAGGTTAAAAAAAGGAAACACTAACGAGATTGAATTTGTATTAGGACCATAAATGTGTGTTCAAGCATTGTTTTGGTTTAATTACAACACTTACACTAACCATCCTCAAATCAGCTGATGTAACAGTCAATAAAACTGTAGACTGCTGAGCTCAACAACAAAATTCCTGTACTGTGTGCAAGTTCTGTTAAGTCCTGTGTAAACACTTTAGAGCCCTCGAGGTCCGTGATTGGCCGGAGGACCATTAGTTTGACAGGTGATTGTTTTGTCTATTCAGGTAGCACCAACCTTTGCACCTAGAGTGTGATAAATAAGCTTGGAGACCCATTGATGTGTCAAAGTCCTATGTATGAACTGCAGTTAGTTCTCGTCCGTCTCTTTTCAAGCAAATGATACTGAAAAGGAGTCTGTATGAATTATTATAACTTCTATCAGAGACTGTTTTCTTTTTAAAGTAAAGTGCCACAAAAATATTTCTTGTTTGTGCAGGGAATGGGTAATGATGATATGATCACTGTCAGAAGCGAGTAAGGTCATTTTTAGTCGCGTGCCTGTGAAGCTGGTGTGTAGGCTACAAGGGTGATGTGTTTTTACCCTTTAACAATTGAAGCTGTGAGTTAATGTTTGAGATGATATTTGATTTAGACGGGAATTTTTTTTTTTTTGTCAGGGTTAGATTTCTGACTTGTGCATTCTTAATCTGATAGGATTGCGAATTGCATTTTGCATCACTGTAGCCTGCAGTCCAGATACTAGTTACTAGAAGTAGAAGTAGAAGGTAAATGTTTCTAGAGGTCAGTGGGCATGAGAGCTGTAACTAACAGTGTAACACAAAACCTGTTATTGGGTACCAGTAATTATAGCAGGCTGTGTGGCCACTGATACTGGGCTGCTCTTGTTGTTGTGCAATGGTGTAAGTCTTAGCCAAAATAGGCATCAGATGTATATATGTAAACCAACAGAGGTTATTATAGTCAAATGTTAAATGGACTCAAAATTAATGTTTTTATTTGCATTTTATCAAATCTGGAAGGTCTAGAAAAGAAAAGTGCTATGCATATGTTATTGTCTTTTTTTCTTCTAGCGGGGCTGTTTTTAATCCTCTAAAAAGCAACACTGAAACAATGTTGATTATGTTTTGCCAGTAGGTTAATCCCTATGGAAACAGACCAGACATATTAGCTGGTAACAGAAAGTTAAGGTCTGGGTCAACGTTTTTATTTACTCCAGTTCAAATGTGTTGGAAAATCCAAATGACACACTTTCAACTTTCACGCATGCCAGATTCTCCCAGATGTTACACAATCAATCTATATCAGAAAAAAGGTTTGAATTTTTTTTCTCAAAAGTCAAATCAAGGAATTTGTGGCTCTGGCCTAAAAATTTACCTGTAAGAATAAAGCAAAATTTGTAAAAGAGAAAAAGTGACCTTTTTTTCCGTTCTAGGACCATTAAATGTTTAGTCTGGTTATCTCTGCATTCTTCAGGTCAATGACCACTTAGTGTTGAATGTCAGGTGCACATTTTTCCATACATTATCACAGAACACCCTGAATCCAGCCCTTTCTATGATAGTGTTAACCTTCCCTCTGCTGAGTTGTCTTTTAGGCCACGCCAATTTGATTTGTTGGGTCTCGGATTCGCCTTTTCATTGTTTTCTGATTTACAAAAGAAAAGAAAAAAGATTCTGGTTCTGAGTCAACTCAAATATGCTCATATTTTGCCCCCAACCGTTGAGGAAAGTCCTTTTCTTCCTATAGCTAGTTGTCACAGTTTTTCTATCTATCAATGCAGTGGTTTGATTAGAAGTTCAAAATTGATTGTTTAAATATGAACCCAGCCTTTTGTGTTCACTACATGGCTGCTATCGTAGCATTTGGGGCTATGATAAAATGCCTAGACCTATTTTTATTGATTTTTTTATTTTTTCGCCCTGTCGCTTCATATTTTTTCTGAAAAAAATCTGAGAAACAACAAATTAAATTGGTGTGTCCTTAGTGACAAGTTTGTACTGGTTATGGGGTTAGGCACTAGGGGGACATGTAGGATAAATGCCATGGTCTGAGGCAAGGTATTTATAGTGGACCTAGTAATAGTGACAAGTCGTGGTGGTCTGTTCTAGGCACATACCAGCATTTCCTACTCATTTGTCTCTATACATTGGCCCAGAATTGTGTGTGAAAAGTTTGCAGTGATTTTGAAACAATCTATCGAATTGGTGTTCACTAAAAGGTAGAAATGACACACAGTGCTTAGAATATGAATATTGCTTTTAAAAATCATATTTTGAATATTGCTTTTAAAAATCACCACTCCTTTTTTCCAGCTTTGTGTATAGGTGAGCAATGATTATTTATGTTTAGCAGTCCCTATTTGTTGATAATGTTCACTGTGTCCTTGTCTTCTGTGTCAAAAGCATTGTCCATTTTCCAGTTAGTTCTTCCGTTGATTTTCAATTGATAGTGGCATTTTTATTACGTCGTTAAAACCAATAAACATAGAGATATTTGATACATTATATGTGTGTGCATGGTGGAAAAATTCCCTTTTGTATGGTGTATGTATCATATTTTGCCATGCCCTGTCTCTATTGATGTAAGATAAGCATAATAACAACGTCAGGGTCAAGGCGGTTCACGGCATTGCATCTCTGGCATGCTTATCCCCGTCAGAAATAGACCACTATTACGTCAGCGACCTATTAAAAATTTCATGAGACAGATGTACTAGTCACAGTTTGTTAAAGGTATTTGCAATATTTGTGTTGACATTTGAACAAAATGTAGCTCAACAGGAGACGATACTAGTATCTTCTGCATTTCTTTGTGTCAGGTTTTAATAAATCCAGTAGATTGTTCAGGGCTCAAAATACTGGGTGCATGTGCACCTTAGTGCACCCAAATTTGGAGCTATGCACACAATTTTTTTCTGTGGGTGCACCCAAATATTTTTGTAGATTTAACGTATGTAAAGATGTTGAATGTATAGTTGTTACAGCATATTCTTAGCATCTAAGTGTCAGAAAAAATAATACAATCATTGTTATAGTACTTTTCTTGAAATGAAACATAATTATAGTTTTTGCTGACATTCTACTTATTTTATCTTATATGGTGCACCTAAAATATTTTTTGTGCACCCAATTTTTAGGTTGGGTGCACCAGTGCACGTATTCCCAAAAATGAATTTCGAGCCCTGATGTTGATATACATACATTAACTTTGACATTTGGTGTGTCTTTATTTAAAATGCAGAATCAGATGTAATAAAATGGGTTTGGTTGAATAGGAAACATTACAATGTATATCTTGGCCAATTTCTGTATGGTATTAGATACATTCCATTAGGCCTGTATTTATTTACTGCCTTCTCTATGTATGTAGTTTATCATTCTGAGTCTGACTCTGAAATTGGGCAGAGTTTAAGCAATAAAATACGAGGATTCGGTTGCAGATTATTCATGCCTGGATGAGAATTAATTTGGATGCAGCGACTAATGGACTGCGAACGCTTGATCCTAGCGCACAGGTTATCTGGCCTTCACCTAGATACTGAATACCTTGTCGATATCAGAAGAAATTTATGCTATTTCCGTGAATGTTGATTGGGTTATACATCCTCCCGGTGGTCGGTAATCTCCGCATGGGAGCAGAACGGAATTTTGCGTGGAGGTAAATTCCCCGGGATTTCTAGGTTGACGATGGACGTGTTTGTTGACCCCTGTTGCCAGTTTTTTTATTCAGTCCACAGGGCTCAGAATTCATTTTTGGGAATAGGTGCACTAGTGCACCCAACCTAAAAAATGGGT